GTGAGCTGTTTGTGGTTCCTTTTATTAGATGCTAGCCAGAAGCACCTAAAGAAATTAATCTTCCAGGCTTTTGATTAATTGCCAAACCACTGATTATTGATCAATGGTGAGAACAGAAAATCCAGGTTAGGATGGCTCAGTATTCCCTTGTCAGATTGTGGCTAGAAGGGATAATCTCTAAACAATAGCTAATTCATCATTAATGGAAAATGATGCAGAGGAGGAGATTGTGGGGATTTATCTCAGTTAGTTTTGCTTTAACCTCCAGTGCTGCTACTCCTATTGCATACAGACTAATTCCAGCTGGTGGGTTGAAACCTAAGGCAACACAAGGTATGAAGTCTAAAAGACTGATTGAATCATTAACGATTCCTATTCCAGGTACAAACATAGCTGGACATGTGAGTGGGTCTAGAGAAATAAAAAATGGAAATGAAGACTTTGAGGTCAGAAATGACGTAGTTCAGTTCAGCAAGCATTATCAAGAGTACACCAGGTTCTAGCAAAGATGGAAAAGACAAGGTCCCTGCCTTTGAGTAGCTCACAGCATACTGAAAGAGCCAAATACATGAATAGATCACTTTGGTGGATTGTAAATAAGTGTTTGCAGTGACCAGCACAGTTTTAGAAGTGGCTAGATATCATTTTGGGTAATCATGGGATTGGTGATATAAGGTGGGTATGAACCCATAGTGCAGGGTTAAAGTTGTGTCTAGCTTTACATGACCTCCATTCATAGACTCAAAGCAAGAAGCACTCAGGAGATCATATGTTATCAGTCTCCAATTTTCCTTCAGATGAAGAAACAGAGACTCTTCAGTGTCTGAATGCTCTCTCCACTTATCTTAGGGATGAGTTTGGGGTAAATTAATTATTAACTTTATTTAACAATGTTTATTTGGCACTTAGGGCCATACCAGGTGCTAGAACATAACAATGAGTAAGAATCCCTGACCTAGGGTTGTTCTGGAAGGATTGAGTGGAGACCAACAAGGAACAGTGGCTTGAAAACACAGGTGATACCTGGGTGGCTCAGTCAGTTGAGCGTCTAAGTCTTGGTTTCAGCTCAAGTCATAATTTCATGGCTTTGTGGGTTCAAGCTCCACATCGGGCTCTACACTGGCAGCATGGAGCCTGGTTGGGATTCTCTCTCTCTCTCTCTCTCTCTCTCTCTCTTTCATCTCTCTGTGCCCTCCCCTACTAGTGCTCTCTCTGTCTCTCTCAAATAAATAAATAAACTTTAAAAAGAAGAAGAAGAAGGGGGTGCTTGGTTGGCTCAGTCAGTTAAGTGTCTGACTTCAGCTCAGGTCATGTTCTTCCAGTTGGTGAGTTCGAGGCCTGCACCAGGCTCTGTGCTGACAGCTTAGAGCCTGGAGCCTGCTTCAGATTCTGTATCTCCCTCTCTCTCTGCCCTTCCCTTCTCACACTTTGTCTCTCTCTCTCATAAATTAACATTTTTAAAAAAATTTTAAGATAAAAGAAAATGCAGATGATAACTAGTGTCCTAGTTATGCACTCAGTGTAGTGGGGATAGGGTGAGGATGCCTCTATCTGTCTGCAGGAAGCAGAATGACTTCGTAGAAGGAGTATTTGAATTGAATCTTCTAGAATGAGTCAGGTATAGTCCCAAGAGAAGGCACTCCACGGAGACAAACAGCTGTGCTGTGGATTGGAGGTTTAGAAACATGACATCCTCCGAACCTCCCAGGCTCACAGTGTAAGTGGGCAAAGAGGCTGAAAGGGGTGGATAATACAAGATGATAAGTAAGTTGACCCAGCTCCTTGTCCTCAAGGAGCCCCTGAAAGGTGTCATACAAGGTCAGTGGCATGATCAAGTTTTTAAGGCAAAAATAACACTTTATAATAAGGGTGGAGCAGGGCACCCAGCAGGCTCCTGGGGCAATCCAAACAAGCTGTCACGGAGGCGTGGCCTGGGGCAGCGTGGCCGAGAACGTGCACGTGAGACATACCCGCCAGCCTCCAAGGTTGGTTGGATGTGGAAAGTTAGAGCAGAGACTCCAGGTGGATGCCTAGGGTTCTGGAACAGGCCAGGGTGTCAGTAGGTATGGATGTCGTTCACTGAGAATGAAAATAGGAGAAGGGGAAGGTTTGAGGGTAATGATTTCAGTCCACGACTTTTGGGGTATTGGGCACATGTAAGAGGTCTGGAAAGCAGATTGCTATTAAATAGTTGAACATGTTGGTTTGGCACGGGGGAGGAGGCTTGGGCACAGGAGTACACACCGGAGAGTGCTCAGCTGTAGGTAGTGGTGGAAGTTATGGATAAAGAGGTCAGGGAGTTCTAGGCTAGGAGGCAGGGAAGGCAGCTTGGGGCTACATTGTGAAGGACCTGGAATGGTCTTTGCAGGTTTTACAAGGTGAGACTGTTTTGGCTAAAGAGGTGTCCCAAGTAGGAGACTAATTGGAGTCTAATTCATTCAGTAAGCATTTGTGGAGCATGTTGTCCCTATGGCTTGACACAGGAGTGAGAGCAGTGAACAAAACAGGCTAAGTTTGTTTGCCCGTACACCACTTATCAGCTTAGGCAAAGAATCACTCTTTAATTCATTTCCACAAGAGCTAAGTGCTACAAAGGGAAAGTATCAGGTAATTTAAAATACATTCATCGGGACTGGGATGGAGTTGGGGGCCGGTGCTTGGTCTGTTGGCTCAGAGAAGTCATCCCTGAAGACATGGCATTTCATCTCCACTTAAAGGATGTGAGGAAGACCCAAGTGAAAGAATGGGGAGAGCACTCCAAGGAGAGAGGGCAGTATGTGCAAAAGCCCTGGATGGGGGCTCCTGGGTGGCTCAGTTGGTTAAGCGTCCAACTTCGGCTCAGGTCATGATCTCACAGGTTCATGAGTTTGGGCCTCACATCAGGCTCTTTGCTGACAGCTCAGAGCCTTGAGCCTGCTTTGGATTCTATGTCTCCGTCTTTCTCTGTCCCTTCCCTGCTCATGCTCTGTCTGTCTATCTGTCTGTCTCTCTCTCTCTTTCTCAAAATAAATAAACATTAAAAAAAAAAAAAAGCCCTGTACGAAAGGGTTGTTGTTTGAGGACTCCAGGATGCCTGCATGGCCTGAAGGTGCAAAACAGCTGGGTGCTTGAGATGAGACATGGCTACTGCTTACAGCTGTGTGGCTACTACCCTTCCCTGTCTGTAAACAGACACCAGAGGGCCTGGGTTTGTAAATCCAACTCTCCTCCAAAAGAAAGCATTTTTACCAGGATCCTCGAGTGAGTGGTGAACCACAGCCAAGAAGGTCTCTCTCCTTTCCTTGGCAGCCACCTGGCCCCGGCACAGCCCCACAGCCCCCTCACAGAGCCCGCTGCAGGGCATTAATGGAGAAACAACGAGGAGGTGATTTTGTGCACAGTGAAGGCAGTGGGAGTTGTCTGGATTTGGAAAGAGGCTGTTCAAGGAGAAAAGAGAAGCAGAGAAGCTGAGTGGCCAAGAAATCAGTGTGTTTTGGTCAACATAACTCACCCAGGAGCATAACATTTTACTTCAGCAGCTACAGCAGAATGTGCCTCTTTAGGAGCTCAGTGTGTCTGGGAAAACCTCAAGAGTCAAAATCTAGTCTTGGCACATATTGGTCCTGACGTGTTTCTTTTGTGAAACATAACAAACCAATTGGGAAAATAACTTTGGAAGGAAACTTGATTGATTTTTCAAAGAAAGCAAGAACTCCTATGAAAATTTCTCTTAAGTCTATTAAAGCCATTCTCCTAGGCGGCTTGTAAGAGAAACTCAACTAGATTGTAGTTCCATTTTGCAAAAAGCCTTTAATTTGTTTTCCCACATTTTTGGCCTTTGTTTCCATTATTCCTGTCAGGTTGCTTTATTAGGTGAAAAACTGGATGGCCAGGTGCTGTAATTCACTGTTGTTTTTCTCTTATTGGGGCCGAGTATGCCCTTCTGTTCCTTCTAGCCTCCCAAAATATATTTTGATGTAATAAGCTGTCTTATTCCAGGTAATGACTTAAATATGAACTATAGGTTCTTCCAGGTTTGTGGTCACATGGGATATTAGGAGTTGCCAAAAACTTATTAATACCTGGCTTTGGCACTTAGTAGCAATGGGACATCTGTTTACTCATCTGTACAATGGTAACAAATAAGCCTCCAGTTCCTGAAGAGGGTATTTGGGAAAGTGAATGAATGCTACAGTGCATGCAAGAGTGCTTTATTAACTGTGTCACCATCTATGTGTACAAGTATTAATATGGTAAAATTATTATCGCTATGTCCAAGGAGATTATTCACACTAAGACTCAAAGACTTTACATATGCCATGTACATTCTTTATATACCTGCTCTTCGTTTCTCTCCCCTCTCTCTGTCTTCCCGGATACTCATAAGTATAGCATCTCAGAGATATGGGAAGAAGTATCCATCCCCCTCGGGTTTCCCAGAGATGAAATAAATTATTTTGCTACTGTTAAAAATATATTTTGACTGTCAAATGCACTTACAATGAGCCATCATAATTATGAAGCATATTTCTCAGTTTTCTTTTTGTACAGTGTCAATGTAAAACTCGCAAATTTTACATGAAGATAGAAAATAAAGCGAAACTGAAAGAATTTAGATGGTGATATCATTGTCCAAGAATTAGAAGAAATATCCATTGGTTAACATGAAATAATGATTATATATTGCTTTTTGTGTCTGTTAGGGTGCATATTTTATGTCCACTAAGTTTATATAAGCCAGTACATTTTGTAAAGTCAATTGTATTTTCCCTCCTCTCCATGCCATAGCACAAGGAGAGCTCTGGTGCCCTCCTACCCTTTCAGCAATGATTTCCATTACTGGATGTAGGTCAATCCTTGCTTTTACGGATGAACTGTGAAAAGTTATGCATCGACCGTGAACTATATAGGAATAAGAAAAGTTGAGATGCCCTAAGGCATAGACTAGACCTTTTGTAGGGGGAGCAGAAACGTTTTTCTCCATTCTGATTGTAAAATGCTTTTTCTCTTTTAAAACTCAGGTGACTGTGACAGATGGCGGTTCCTCTCCAAAACAGTCCACCATTTGGGTGGTGGTTCAGGTTTTGGATGAAAATGATAATAAGCCCCAGTTCCCAGAGAAGGTCTACCAGATCAAGCTGCCAGAACGTGATCGAAAGAAGAGGGGAGAACCCATTTACAGGGCTTTTGCATTTGATAGAGATGAGGGCCCCAATGCAGAAATCTCCTACAGTATCGTGGATGGGAATGATGATGGAAAGTTTTTTATTGACCCTAAAACTGGCATGGTATCTTCCAGAAAGCAGTTTACAGCAGGGAGTTATGACATCCTAACGGTAAGATTTTTCTGAACCTCAATAACATGCATGGGTGGTGGGAGTTACTTTCTTTTTCATGTATATTCCTTTGAGTAATAAATCTTTAGGTAGCCATCCAGGTTTGGAAGGCTACTTTCTATATCAGTGATATTTTTAAATAATGAGATCATTTCCTTTGGTTGTGTGCTGTCAGCAAACCTCCCCCATTCCCAGTACACAGTCTGTACTCAACGACACTTCTTGTAGCCTTACATCATTTTAAGGTACTCAGCATAGATGGAAACCTAGGGTAGAAGAATAGCAGAGTGACCTATCACATCCACCATTCAACATATCAGTAACTCAATGTGTCCCCAATACTTCCCAAAGAAAACAACTCTTGTAACTGTTGACAGTGTGATAGGACATGAATTCAGCTGTGTAAATTGTGAGACGCAAACCACAGCTATGCTTGTTCTGAAAAAAAGTGAAAAAGCTTAAATTAAAAAATGATTACATTTTTTACCATTAGAAAATTAAAAGCAAAAACAAAAAACATGAGCACTATCTCATATAGAGACTTAAATTCCCATATCTAAAATGTCAGCCTGCCCCCACCACCCCCAACCACTTTAGAAATATTGCACCTATCCCAGAAAGGAGATTGGTCATCCTTACAAGTGATGGGCACTTTCCAGGGTCCCAACAACTGTCAAGAGTTAGAGCCATCTGCTGTCCTTCTCTTAGTCTACAGCCTTCTCTGCTGTATAAAGTCAGTCCTTTTTATTTTAAAGGGTGGTCTGAGTCCCTTGATTTGTCTTTTCATTCTTATGGTGTGGACTTGGGTTTCTTTCCCTACTCAACAGCATACTCAGAACAGTGGGCAGAGAAAAGTGGATAATAAAAAACTAGCTCTGTGTCTACCATTAGTAGCTCTGATATAATATGTCCTATTATAATTGTGTGAGATTTGACAATGAGATTTGACACTGGAGGGACTATAGTGGAAATTGTTGGTGCCCCACACAGATCCCCTTTACCAGGATGGGGCAGCTATGCCCCAACTGCTGTGTGTGTTGGCTGCTCAGGGCTCACAGCTGTTCCCTTCTTAAGATGATCATCCTTGGCTGAACTTCTTGGCCTAGGAGATTCTCCACTCCCACCCCAGTCCAGCAGCCCATATCCAAAAATTAACTGATGCAAAAATTCAGCCCCTGCCTCCATGTGTCTCCAACACAGTGGTGGGATTGATCATTCAGAACTCCCCATGGGATCAGGCTGAGGTTAAACTTCAACTAAGACCACACACTTGCTTACCATCTTTCTCTGTTCATCGTGCTTCCTTCAGTCCCTTTCTCCTGAGAACACTTCCCCAACCCCCAAAACGATATATATTCAAATCCCTGTCTCAAGCTCTGCTCCCAGTAAACCTGACCTAAGACCTGTATCTTCAAGGGTCTTCCATCTCATAGAAATTTTCTGGAACAAAGTGATCATCCATGAACACATAGCATTTGGGTGCTGTGAGTAGCTGCTGTTTTTAAAGGCTATTATGATTGGCCACAGACCTATACATGTTATTTTTAATATGTGATATTTAAAACCCCATTTTTAAATTTTGTTTTTGTAAAATTTTCCATCAGTGGTTTTTGCTTGTTGGACTTGAACCCTCAATAACGTCCAAGACACCATATCAGGTCACCCTGCACAGCTGCATGAGGAGACATGCTTTCTTCAGTTCTTATATAAGATCACAGAAGAGAGTCATTCATAGGCTCCTCCCTATCCTGCTGTCTCTGGGAGCCCATGCTTTCACCAAGAGAGTCCTTCACCCCTTCAGAGTTGGTGTAACTCAGGGGCTTCGGGAGCAGTTAGAGCAAGGCTGCTGCCTCTCTCACACCCAGCCCATCACCTTCCTGGGATTCTGAGTGAATAAGTGTTTCTCCAGAATAAAGCAGAAGGAAGGAGCTGCACAATACAACCACACACACACACACACACACACACACACACACACGCACTCATTATTCACACTTAAGGATTGACAGTGCACTTTCTTCCCTTTCAAGAATCACCACCAGAGGTGTAAGGAATCAAGTTAGCTCTTCCTACTTATGTAACTATCATCCGTGCCCATAAAACACTATAAATGATAAGCGCCGCTTTTGCTTTTCAAGTTGTCCACATCTGTAAAGTTGGTTCAAATCACCTTCTGGTGAATGTGGTATGCGACCCCCAGGTAACTAAATTCCACAGCACGTTCTCCCCAGATCTCCATCCTCCCTTCCCTTTGCTGACCCTGTGATGAGGATGGATTCTTGGGCCAACAGCAGATAAGTGACAGATCCAGATTTCTGCAGGGATCTGAGCTCTAAGATCTCTTTCTATGTTCTCTCCGTGTGAGTAGATAAAGGCAGTGGACAATGGGCGCCCACAGAAATCCTCCACGGCCCGCCTCCACATTGAATGGATTAAGAAACCACCCCCTTCACCTATACCGCTGACTTTTGATGAGCCGTTTTATAACTTCACAGTCATGGAAAGCGATAGAGTCACCGAGATTGTAGGGGTGGTGTCTGTGCAGCCAGCTAACACCCCTCTGTGGTTTGATATAGTTGGTAAGTTGGAGTCCCCCCCAGAGCAGTATTGGGCAATGTAATCACTGACTGGAGTAACTAGCAAAAAAAAAAAAAAAAAAAAAAAAAAAAAAAAAAAAAAAAAAAAAAAAAAAAAAAAAAAAAAAAAAAAAAAAAAATAAGAATCAAAACCAAAAATTACAAAAAATTTAAAAATTAAAAAAAAACTAACGATTAGTCCTAAGATGGAAAAAAAGATGCATAGTGCTGGAATGCAAAAGAGCCAGTAAAATGAATAATCGACCTGTGCTTTCGTTCCAACTCTGTAGCTAAGCTGAACAGAAAGTGCTCTCTGGCCGGATTTTCCATAGTATGTTATTTACTGCAATCTTAGTGTCTTTCTGTGTGTCATTTAAATTCTATTGTCACACTTGGCTAATCTCATTTCTAAATGTATTGATGGTACTAGACTTGCTGTCCTTCATTTCTCTCCTTTTCTTCACCTTTTTTCTGCATTCTGTTCTTTTTTTTTTTTCTGCTCCCGACTGCCCTGCTTCAAGGTGGCAAGCATGCTCGAGAGATGTTCTATATTCTACAGACAGCTTGTGGGCAGAACTGTTCAACAGAAGGTACCCTTAGTGCAAACACATTTGCTAAAATACAGCTATCCAATCTGCCTTTTACGGGTTTTTTTTTTAAGCAAATTAAATTACATCTTTCATAACTGCCTGTGACAGGCTGAAGTTCAGCCCACAGATTTCATACATGCCTCTAACAACTATTGCGTTACTTGTATCCACGGACTCCTTTGTCTGAGGTTTGATGGGGTTTGGATTCGGGGGGGAGGGGTTGTTTTGATTTCTTTAAAAAATTTTTTTTCTTCTCTTTTGAGGTATATGGACTTTTTGTTGTTTTGTTTTTATGATTTTGTAGGCTGGGTTATTTGGGTCTTTTCCGATTGAAAAATAAATTAAAATTTATCCCAACACCCCAGTTGTGCCACGGTAGTGCCATTCATAGACCAAAAAGCTCCACCAAGAGGGGTCCCTGGCTGCCATCCACAAAGGTAGAGACAGGAAATGGAACCCAGATATATAGCCCATGAGAGCTTCCTACGAGAACCGAATAGAGAAAGCAGACAGAAGCATGTAGGACAGACCTTGGGAGCCAACCTTTAAATTCTTTGAAAGAGAACGAGCAAGCAGGCTGCAAAAGGAGAGGGCAAGACACAGGCAGGGAGAGGCAGTGCAGGGGAAATCTGTGCTGAGGATGGGAAACAAAACAGCCCGGAGCCCAGAGGATGGAACGGGGAGAAGGTGCCAGCCCCGGATCTGACACCGGGTTGCGCTGGAGCTGACTTCCCACGGTTCTTTGTGGGAGGCCGGGAATTCAGAGACCTGGTCTGCGGGAATCATTTCCCTCCATATGTCACCGCCTGGATCGGATGGGCAGGAACCCACCTCTCTTCCCAGGAATGGCTGGGTCTGGAGAAAGCATTTAGAACATTCCACATCTGTTTTAATGAGGCACAGGAAAAAGAATGCCCCGTGGCCTCCAACCAAACTTCGGTAGAAAGTCCTCTGAACTGCCCCCAAAGGGGCATGTTTTCTATATATTTCATCTTCTGGAATGCCGGTAGAATGTCTTTGCTTTCCTTACTTGGCATTAGTCACACCATCTCTGTACATGACCATCCTCATTCTGAACTTTCAACTCCTTCTTCATCTCCACTTAATGCATTAGAAGTGGAACCTCTTCTGATCTATGGAAGATGTCTTCGATTCTGCATCTTCTCATGGGTTTTCAGCCCACGAAGTTATTATGTGATGCAGCTTCCTCTTTCTTGGTGAAATGGAGGGCGGCACACACGCCTCACCTGGTTGTCTGTGCTGTCATCCTGGGTGGTTCCCTCACTGCCCCAGTTGGAGTCACAGAAAATGTATCTCAGTTTGCACATGTGTCCCCTGATGCCAAGCCTCCAGGGATGTGTGCAATAGTGATTTCTTTTAAATAAACCAGAGAAGAGTGTTCTCAACAGGCAACAGGGCTCCTGGTGTGCTGTCCTAAGCTGGGGGGGGGGGGGGGGGGGGGGGGGGGGGGGGGAGGGTGTTGCTGTCTCTCCTCAGCCTCCACTTTGCCTCCTCTCTCCCCTGACCCTTCAGTTCGCAAGCACCTCTACACCCAACAGCACTGATGCTCTCCCTCATGTGATCCATGCCTGCAACCTCCTCGGGCCCTGCAGCACATCCTGCTACCATCCCCACCCACCCAGGAAGCCCCTATTTGCACACAGCACACATCCTAAAAAACACACCTTTCTCTGATGCTCTGACCAGCCATCTGACCCCAGATATCCAAGTCAGTTTGTAGTTCCTCAGCATTTCTGTGTGTGTGTGTGTGTGTGTGTGTGTGTGTGTGTGTGTGTGTAGGTAGGTAAGCATACCTAGTAATGCGATATGTAACATTACCTGCATGTTTTCATGTTCACATTGTTAGTGCTATTGTGTATTTTCATTTGTATTGATCTATTATCATTCTCTTTTTAATGTTTATTTGTTTTGAGAGAGTATATTTGCACAAGCTGGGAGAGGGGCAGAAAGAGAGGGAGAGAGGGAATCCCAAGTAGGCTCTGCGCTGTCAGCACACAGCCCGATGAGGGGGCTTGAACTTACAAATCATGAGATCATGACCTGAGTCAAAATCAAGAGTCTGACACTTAACCGGCTAAGCCACCCAGATGCCCCAATCCAATCTCATTCTTAACTCAAGATCAAGGCCTTTTTTTCCCTTCATTTCTTCCTCCTGCCAGTGCTTCTGTTGATTGCTTCAGGGTGGAATAAACCATGGTGATGGAGGAGACACTCCAGGCAGCCAACGCATTGACCCTACTAATGCCTCTTGAGACGAACCCCAAGTCAGGGCAACCTTCCACTGTCTTCCCAGCCATAGCAACCATCGCCCTTTTGACAAAATGAGAACTAGTCCAAGAAAAGAGGGGCAGTGTACAGATGACAGCCCTCCCTGGAGTGAATCCCTTCAGGCTGCTCCAAATACACATCCAGAAATCATTTCTTTCTCCACCTTCACACGTCTAAATGCTACACTCTTCCTAAAGAATCCTTCTCATAACAATGCATGGAGTAGTTCTCTTAATGAAGACTTACAGGGTTGTCCCTCTCTGCTAGATGCTTCCATCACAGGGATTTCACTGCAGATCTGGTATCATCTAGCTGAGCTTCTCTTACAGATTGAACTTACCGGGCCCGATGCCCAAACACAACGTGGTTTTATTTCCATCCCCACATCCAGCCAGCAACATCTTGAAACACCAACTCTTTTTTCATCACAGAAGTTAAATCTTTTCCCCAGGTGCTGGGGTTGCTTTCAGTATCAATATAGTCTCCCTTCCACCAAATCCCCCTTTTTAGAATCTCTTCTAATCTAACAGAGTCTTTTTTTTTTTTTTTTTTTGGCCTGCTGACAATATCTTTCCCCCTCTCTAAAAACCTATTGTTTTCTTTATCATATTCAGATGTTTCCTTCTCACTTTCAAGAGGTTTTGCTTATTTGTCCTTGGCCATGCAGACTCTTCATTCTCTTCCCTTTCTTCTTGCCTAAGCATCTTCCTTGGCCAAGCTAACACAGAGGGAAAAGAGAGGGAAGCATGCTTCCCAGTGCTTAAGAAATTGGCAGTGTACTGTGGTTGAATGCTGTCATATACTGTTGGCACAGATCTGAAATGAGATCTGGGTGTAAGTGTAGGTCTTATCCAGGTAAATACTCTGTGACTCTTCCAACAGAGTCAAGATTTGGCTCCATTACAGACCTAGTGTATTTAGGCACCTATACAGACATTCAAGGTTACAGAGCCTACAACATCCTGGCCTAGCACTTACAGCTTACAAATGCTATAATGAATGATTTCTCATTAAGTAAACATAAAGAGTGTTTCTGCATTCTTCTCCCCCTGAGAGTATAGTCTCCTCATTTCCATATTTCCAGATCTACCTGATTCTTATTTAACTGCATACCTTTCCCTCCCATCATACTATGAATTCACAAAAACCAAAGCAATCAAGATTTTGTTCCCAAGTCTGGACCCCTGTACCACCGATCTGCCAGTCACTTTTGTGTTCCTCCCAAGAGACCATTGCTTACAATATTATGTAGCTAGACCCTCCTCAGCTTCCAGAAACAGAAGCCCTACTTGTAACCCAGTTAAGAAAGCTGTAATTAAAAGGAAACATAATAAAGTTCAGCTGTTCTGTGTTTAAACAGCGCAATGCACAGCGTGTTCCTTCTCTGTGTTAAAAGGGAAAGAAAATGAAGGGAACAAAAATAACCCATAATCCTTTGTGGCTTTATCACATATCTTCACACTTCTCAGGAGACTATGATTCAACCCAGCAGCTCCTTGATTTACATTTGTTATAATGTGCACGCAGTCAGGTTCACAGTTCATTCCTCGTATCTTTATCCCAATGGCAAATATCTGTATTGTAAAGACCACCCCTATTATGCACTTCAAACAATGCCTCTTTACCCACAGTTGACAGCGGACGCTGCCGCCCAGTTTGCTGGCTTTTTACCTGATACTTTGATTAGAAAAATGGTTGTTCTTCTTGAGAGTAAACATTGAAAATATCTTTGTTTATCTTATTTGAAAACAACTCTCTGACAGTGCAAGCTAGCACATAGGTCCCACTCTAGCTGAAATTCCTATCTGTGTTGCAGGTATATGAAGATCACCTTGGCTCTTAGTTTGTCATAGGTTCCTGCAGACTTTGGGTTCTGGGCTGCTTCTGTCTCCTAAGCTTACACCTGTCCTTCCTGAACCTTGTCCCCAGTGGAGCCGTCCCTTAAGCATTAGATCAAGTGGTCATGTGAACTCTTTGACAGCACTAGCAGCAGGCTTGTTCTCTGACTGTAGATTGAGTCTTTTCTAATGTAGTGGCCATATTTCTGTATCACAAAACTCTTACCCATCCCTCCTGAGAGAAGCCGTGTCTACATATCATTTCTAATACACCAGTTTATCTGTTCAAGTAGTGTTTGCTCAAAATCATTCAGTTAACATCAAATACTTCATTCCTCCTATTCTGTACAGTCCCTAAGTTGATCCCAAATGGTCCTCTCTTTTCTCCATCAGGACCATCTATACCATAGGACCACGTCTGAGAGGTCTCAGGGAAATAATAAAAAGCCTAAACAACACTTTGTATATTCATTATTTTACGAAAATGAATTTTAAACCATATTCTAGAAGGGATTTTCCTTCCTACCTCTGTTTCCTGACCTCCACCCAGCATCTCTTGCCTTCCATGTAAATATCCTTTTCAGCCCCATACTGTGCTTGCTTCATTCCAAGACAGAAAATTATTCATGATCAAACCGCAATCGGTGTTTAGCATTTTTCCTTACGTTTGGTGTACATGCTGAACTTGAATGAACAGCTTGTGAACGACTCCCTTAATTCATTGAGATTCAGCAGCTCAGTGTTTTGGAAGCTTCTCACATAACACTTCCCCCTTGGAGACTACTAGATTTTGGTTGGTGTTTTTACAATTACACACAGAGTGCAATGGAATCATATGCTAGGGGAGGAGCCTGGAAACTTCTCTAAAGAAGAAGTGGTGCGAAACTCACCATCAGATCTCATTATGGAGAGATGGTGATACTTTGTACCCTTCTTTAAAGAAAGACTTGACCGAATCATGAGCCAGTGCCCTGCTGCACGGCATATGCAAGCAGTCGCTGCTGCGTTAAAGTATTTTTACCCTAATCCCATTTTTGAAGCTTTTTAGGACATTCTGACTTTTTACATTTAACTTTAGAATCCAGTAGAAATCCAACCCTCCTCTTCTGCTCTTTGTTTACTCTGTTATACCCGTCTTTACCAAAAATGGTCACAGAGAAATGTCCCTGACATGAACTATCTGTTATGTGGGCTGTTCACAACCTTGCTTTTAACCATCTCTGCCGCACACCCCTGCAGCAACGCTCAGGCTGTGACTTTTCTACTTTCCCACTTTGTTGAAACTCAGACCAGCTCGGCAGTGTTCTCCCCTGCCCCCCACCTTTTGTTTAGCCTAACGCTGCTGCACCAGCATACTCTGGCTTTGCATGTTGTGTTACTGGCTCTGAGGAAGCACATCTTGTTTAAACGGAATGCTGCTAGTGAAAATGGACTCCTACCATTTGATACTCTCACCCCAGATGAATTGGACATAGTTTCCTATGAAATGAAATCACCTTTCAGGCTGAAAGGGAGCCTGAGAAATGAGCCCTGGGGGAGAGATATGGGGTCGTTATGAAATGGGATGCCTAAGTGGTAGGTTATTAAATTGCGTGAGGGTTGATGGTGAACTGCTGGTCTAGATTCTGTGTCCCTTGTCAGAAATTCATTTTAAAACTCAGGCTAGATTTTGGGAACCTTGTTTCCCGTGATATCTTGGTTTCACTGGGAGCACATGCCCTGGAAGTGACTACCAGAGGCTGCTTGCCATGTTGATGGACTGAGAACCACTTCTCAGGCTCTCTCTGTCTTCAGTTCCCCTTGATCTGCTTTCCATTTGTCTAGCTCCCTGCCCCTTCAGAGCTTTCCAGTCCAGAGTATTTGAAACTGTAATGGCAGATGAGGGAGATACATACACACACTCACAGACATGTACGCACACATGCAGGAGAGAGAACTATAAAAAATTAAAACCATAAAAATAGCCAGAGATGTTTTTTGATATGAAAAATGAGTAATAAGAAAACACAGTCTACATGTCTTATGTAATTTATGTAAATTTTATGCCACTCAGCCCATGAAATGATTATATGTTTCATCACAAGGCCCTGAGGAAAATGTGAGTCTCAGGCAGTGAGGGAGAGAGCACATAGGATTTCCCCCTTTTAAACAGGAGCTAAAACTGGAAATCTTTGCTTGGGTGTTCTCTAAATTTTATTTTCATTCATCTTTAGACTGGAGCACAGCAAAGTTTTATAATTTGCATAATTTCCCCTTTGCCTCGACCTACAAATTTTTACCTTCCAAAATAATTGACCTTGAAAGATGACCTTTTCCTCTGCCCTTACCTTGCCCACCTCCCCACTCCCGCCCCCCAAAGTGTGTTCCTCATATTTAAAAAAAGACAACAACCCTGTTAGGAAAACATTCTGAAGATGATTTTCAATGTGATTTAAAATATAAAGTAACTCCCACCCAAAACAGCACAAAAAGTGGCATTCTACTCTTCCCTTCCACACAGGTCTGATGTATTTTATATCCTTTCCTTGAAAGTTTCCATGGCAAAGTGGCTTTTTTTTTTTTTTTCCAGAATGTACCAGTTGATAGCAAGTGGTTTTTCTTTGTTCATTAGGATGGTTACTCAAGACCCGTGAATCAGCCTTACGTTTTATTTCATGTGGTTATCAACAGGGAACATTCCCTTTGAAAGAGACACGGTGACCTGAGGCTTGCTTTCCCGTTCAGCCTAGATTTCCTCCCCTTTCTCCTTCTCCTGTTCTTCAAAAGAATTTTTTTTTTGGAGTTAACATTAAGTGCTCCTCAGTAAATCAATTAAAGATATTAATTGGAAGATGAGTCTCTTTTTAGATGAAGTTTTTGAAAAATATATCATCTCCAAGCAATTCTGTGGTCCCCCGTATCTCCATAACTTTAATTAAATGTCAAGGGCAATTATGTTCTCTCTAGCAATTAAATAATCTTAAGTGTATATGACAGCTGCAGGCAATAAGTATTTGAAATATATATGACCAGGTTTTTTTTTTTTTTTAGTAAACCATGTGATTTATTTTGTGTCACTGTATATTGAATTCTACTAATTCAGGTAAATTCTCCTTTCCCTTAACTCATCCACTCATTTGTAATTGTAATATCATAGAAATTGTATATGGTATTGTTCACTGATCAGCAAAATGAAATCCAAAGTATGTTGAAGGGAAGAGAAGCCAAGATTTCTTTTCTACAATATGAAATTCAGTAAATGAATTGCCCTGTGTGCTGTAGCTAAATAAAATTACTGTCCAAGAATAAAATTAATTGACATCATGGAATTTCATACTAAAATAAATAGAGCTTGTGAACATACAGTGATATTTAATTAAAATCAGTCCAGCATTTGTACTATTATCTTCTCTCCCCCTAAAAAAAAAAAAAAAACTCTCATTTTGGGAAAGATCACAAACCACATTTTAGTTCACAGAGATGAAAACAGCTACAGTCATTTTAAAAAGGCCTATGTTGTCTTGGCACATTATCAGGTACTCCTGGCCCAATGGAGAGGGAAGGAAAGTTTTTTAAACTTTCACACTGGTTGTTTTGTAAGTTGATGTCACATAAACTGATGTTTTTTTCTCCTTCCTTCCAGATTTCATTTTGTAAATCCCCCGTAAACTCTCTGCCTTTTGGGGAGAAAAATAATTCGCCCTGCCAAGATGGCAAAACAAAATTTTTCTGTAAATATCCCAACTTACAGATGTAGAATTTTTTATATGAAACTCAATTTTTTGGCTTTTTCTTATTTTCTAGTGTTTATACTTTTATTTCTGACATCTAATGGAGGGGATCTGAACTCTACCAACCAAAGTTTACCATCAATCCTAAAATCGATTCAAAAGTGTCTACATATTTTTGTTAATAATTGGACTATTTGTTTACTTAGAATTTAATCTACTTTAGAAAAGCAAGCAAAAAGGTCTATAAATCCTTAGCATAGAAGCCACAAGGGGTTGGAAGGCCTGCAGTTTTCTAAATATTTTACTGACTCAGTTTATTCTTCACTTCTGTAATGTTAGTGCTGAGGTTTTTCTTTGCAATACATTCTTTTTCGTGACATTTGTTATGCATTGAAGAGGCTGTGTTTTGAAATATAAATTAAATTGGAAATAGAGGTCCCATTTAAGATGTAAAAAACTGAGCCATAGGGATGCCTGTCAAAAATTATTTCTGTGTAAGAGCTCCCTTTAAAGCTATATGCTTGAATAGATGTAATAACTTCTCAGATATGCTAATTTCATGTTGTTTTTGTGAAATCATCAGGGGGGAATTTTGACAGCTCTTTTGACGCAGAGAAGGGTGTTGGGACCATTGTCATTGCCAAACCTTTGGATGCGGAGCAGAGGTCCATCTATAATATGAGTGTGGAAGTCACCGATGGGACAAATGTTGCTGTCACTCAGGTAAGATGTCAAATTACTAAATGGCGAGAATGCCAAATGATCTGCTGAAGTCAGTGGTGCAAGTGATTAAAAAATGTGTTGGAAGTAGTAAATTATGTCCACGGATTTCTACTGTTTTTGAAAAAAAATCATGAGAGAACAACTTAGAAAAAAGAGTGTATCAGTGGTATTGAATAACTCAGCTGCCTCCTTCAAGAGATTGTGAGTGTTCATGCATGGAAGAGGGATATGTATTTGCTTCCTGATCATTTACTGTAGATTTCTCTCTTTGACAATAAAGTCAGCTTTCCTTGAATTTACAAGGAAGAGGGTATGTATATTGTCTGAGTCAACGCATCATTATACTCTTCACTTTTTCACGTGTTGGTCTCAGAGAGTTAAAGCTAGAGGCACCTGAGTCCAAATTCATTTCACAAACTAAGATGAGTAATATGTCCAAGGTCACATAGCCTTAATTGAGAACAAGGACAGAGAGTTAGGTGCCCCGCCCCCCATCTCTCATTCCAGTCTCTATGCCAGTGGTCCTTTATCCTGGCTGTACTGTAGAGTGCCCTGGTTGTGGGGGCCTGAGGTGTTTAAAACCACTGAAGCCTGGGGCCCACCCACAACGATCCTGCATGATGCTAATAAGCAGTCGGGTGAGGACCATTGCTTGAACTCTGGTATACGAGTGTTTATGAAAGGGCATTGAAAGCAAGGAGGAGAAAATATGTGGGTAAGATATCAATATAGGGCAGATTTACCCTAAATATGAGAGGATTTTTTTTGTTTTATGTTTTAGTATCAGAGACCATAGGCAGGTTATGGCAGAGGTCTGGCTAAACTACAGGTTCCTGGAAAGGACACCATGGCTGAGATCCTATGGGAATCACACAATCTAAAAGCAAGCCCCAAAGACTAATACAAAACAACCACTTGCAATATTGCTGAGTCTTTATTGCTAAATCACTTCTTAAATTAGCCATTCCTTAGCAAAGCCAACCTCAACTTTTTAGCACCGCTTAAAAATACAAGACTTATTTGAGGGGCACCTGGGTGGCTCAGTTGTTTGAGCATCCAACTTCGACTCAGGTCACGATCTCACGGTTCATGGGTTTGAGCCCCACATCAGGCTCTGTGCTGACAGCTAGCTCAGAGCCTGGAGCCTGCTTCGGATTCTGTGTCTCCCTCTCTCTCTGACCCTCCTCTGCTCATGCTGTCGCCCTCTTTCTGTCTCTCTCAGAAATAAGTTAAAAAAAAACAAAAAAACATTAAAAAATTTTTAAAAAGACATATTTGAGTAAAATACAAAGGAAGTGTGGAACCATATTGATTTCCATACATTTATCCAGGGTTTTATAACAGTTGGAGGAAATGGCAATTCATTGTGCCTAGAATGTTATCTATAGACATTAAATATGCTTAACATGAGTAAATGAATAGCAGGTTGTAACATATTCAGCAGGGCCTACATGGCAGATATGCTGGGTCTTCAAAACACGGAACTGATTCATGGTAACTGGAAAAAAAATTATCAGTGAGACTTTTCTTTTAGAATTTCTTTAGAACCAGATGAGAAATCATTTAACAGTATGTATTCCACAAGTATTTCTTGGGTCTATACCATGTGCTAGGAGGGGTGCTAGATGCCTAAGGTCACAGTGATTCTGAGTTTTAAAACCAGATGACTGATGTGCATGCCTTTTTAAAAACTAATTGGGAAGCGTACATTATAAGACTTTGAATGTACACACTGCTCAAGTTCTACTTTGGTTGATTTCCTATCAGACTAGTGTGGAATTCGACCTCTCTCCAGGGAAATTGGGAAGAGTTGGAGAATCGAGGTGAATGTGGGTGTTTCCCTTGGCAAGACCAAACTAAGGTTAATGAAGGGTATCCAGAGATTTTCTTGTCAAAATCTTCCAGGTCATTTGGTGTCTCCAGGGCCATGACCTTCTCAAATGAGAACTAACCGTTTTCAAGGCATAAACTTGTGTACTGTCATTATTACCACCAGAAAACCATTGCTCTGTCCATTCGACTGTATTCAGGCCCAGATACCCTTCTGGCCTCTGTCAATCCAGGCCTCTGTTCATATTTACCACAGCCCCTCTGACAATAGAGAGAAAATAGGTTCTCAGAATTAATCCAAGCACTTGGTATCAAGGACATTTTTACAAAAAGATATTTTGGTAAAGAAAAGGCATTCTAGATCTCTTTTAGAAACCACTAAAGCATGTTCCAACCCATGACCCTAGGCAACTTAACGATTCCACCATCAAACAGATACCCTTCACCATATAACTAAATAAATGTTTTGTAGCCCCAAAACACCTGTCCAGTTTTCCTTTGGGGACTTTCCTCTACTTTGTTCCTTTGGAATCATAAAACATCTATGACAAGGGCTTCAAATCAGCCAGAAACAACATGTTGAATTTCACTTCACAAATGTCGCATAAATCAGAGCCTCGGGGATCTCTGTGTCTACGTGAAAACTCTTTCTTCATCTTCAGTTTTGTTCTGTTGTCCCAACTTGCAGGATTCTAGTGTCTCAGAGCTATAATATCTGGTGGCAAATAAACATCTTTTCCTTACTGAGATCCCCTAGCATGAGTACAGAATATAAAAAGCTTCTGTGGGTTTCAAGTCACAAGGATTCTGATGTACTAAACAAGCCCATAGGCAGATGATATTCTCCACCTGGATAGAAGATGGAGCAAGAGGGAAAGTCAGAGATTCCTAATGTGAGATGACTGGAAGCATTGTTGCTGGTTCAGGAATGGAGGGGACTGTGTGGCAAGGAATGTAGGCAGCCTTGAGGTGCTCAGAGGAGCTCTAGCTGACAGCCTGCCCTTGCGGGACCTCGGGCCTTGAACCTCAGGGAGATAAATTTCATTAGCAATCTTTTTTTTTTTTTAATTTTTGTTAACTTTTATTTATGTTTGAGACAGAGTGCTAGCAGGGGAGGGGCAGAGAGAGAGGGAGACACAGGTTCCAAAGCAAGCTCCAGGTTCTGAGCTGTCAGCACAGAACTCAACTCAGGACTCAAACTCACAAACTGCAAGGTCATGACCTGAACTGAAGTCAGACACCCAACCAACTGAGCCACCCAGGCACCCCTCGTTAGCAATCTGAATGAACCTGGAGTGGATCCACCTCCAGAGCTTCTGTAAAGGAACACAGCCCTGCTGACCCCTTGATTTTGGCTTTGTGAGACACTAAGTAGAAAACACAGGTGAGCTACACTATACTCAAACTGCCAAGTTACAGAGGTAGGAGATCATAAATGCATGTTGTTTTAAGCCAAGTTTGTGGTAGTTTGTTATGTTAGAAGTAGGAAACGATTGGCAGCTCCATTTTGCAGAAAAGGGAAAGCAAGGTTTTGTAACTTGAGTAGGGCAGGGTTCAGACATAAGTCGTTGGATCCCAGAGCATGCTTTCTCAACCACTGCACTCTCCCACCTCTCCAAGGCAAGGCTAAGTCTTTGCTGCCCTTGCTAAATCATTGCAGGAAGAGAAACTTACCTGGCTCTGCTGGTTATGAGGGGGATACTTTTTTATTTATTTATTTTTGAGAGACAGTGGCTGCATAGAAGTGGGGGAGGGGCAGAGAGAGAAGGAGAAAGAGAATCCTGAGCAGGCTCCACGCCATTGACACAAAGCCCATCACAGGGCTCTATCCCATGAACCGTGAGATCATGACCTGAGCAGAATTCAAGACGTGGATGGTTAACTGAGTGAGCCACTAGCTGCCCCTGAGGAGGACACTTTTTAAGATGGCTGCCTGGAGAACATAGTGCCACCTGTGGCCATTAAAATGTCTCATAGCCAGCCATACATAATGGGGAGAGGGCGAAATACCCCAACCTCCTCATAGCCTCCCCTCAATTAGCTGAGTTTATGGGCCACAGGGACACACATTACGAAAGATGAGAAATTATGGATTTTCACAACTTTCCCCATAACATCTATCCAACCCATATGAGCTACTACATCTTCACAGCAAATTTATGGAAGTCTAGAACATGATTCTTCCAAAGGATCAATGGATGGAAATACATAGTAATATATAATGCCTGATATTTGCATAATAAGATTTAACAAGCTTCATTCTTAAAATGTATTTCCCTATCTTACTGGGAGTAGTTAGATTAAATATTGTCATTACACTTATTTTTCTAGTGAAAAATTCATACAGATTGGTTAGGTGGTCACCCTTAGTGTACACACATAAAGAGGTCCAAACCTACTTTTTCCTTCTCAAAATCAGATCTGTCTTAGAAACTTTATACCTATATATACAGAATATACAATTCACTAGAGGAAGCATTTGGTATAAAGGAGGGAATACTGACTTCGAATCAGGTGACCCAAGTTCAAGTCAGACTTAACCAATTACTGTCTATGTTACCAAATAGAAGCTAGCTCTGTCTCTGTGAGACTCAACTTTTTCTGTATAATGGGGATACTACCTTACATACTTCATGGGTTGTTGTAAGAATAAAATAAGATCTTTTGAAATATTTTCAGATCTGTGATGTGCTGGACACATGCAGGTTTTATTATGAGTCTCATCCTCAACTTAAAACTGGAATAATATACCTGATAACTACAAAATATTGTGTATGTGTTTTCATTGTTATTCATGAAAGAGAGCAGAGATATTCATGCCCAAATAATAATCTGAAAATTACATTGATTTGCTTCAGAGACTCATGGTATGTGCTTTTGTGATTTTAATATGCTTTTCTTATTCAAGTCCAGCTTTGATTTATAAAGAGATGAAAATCAGCTTGTATTTGTATGCTCCACAGCCAAACCTGGGATTAAAAATCTCTTTCAAATAATCTCCAAAATTCTTAGGCCCCACCAAAGCAGTTAATAGAGTTAATTACCCACAAAGGCTTCCTGCCAAACAGAGTGTATTCACTGGGGCTGAGAGGTCTGGGACCTGCATTCTTCAGGTTAACCTTGCCCTTCACAGCCTTAAGGAGTCCATTCTTCTTCTGTCTTTAAGCCAT